CCCCCCGAAGACCCTTCCACAGCCTTCGTTTGCTCTAAGTCAGCAGAGAAACTCATGCTGCTTGCAGCAGTGAGTTTAGTACGGAAGCAAAACCACCTCACTCCGGCCCACAGAGACCGTGGCTGGCCGCCAGGGGTGGGCCGCCCGGGGGCTTGTAAAAGGGAAATTCCTGCACCCCACCCCTGGCCTGGGGCCCCCAAGTGGGGGAGAGGGGCCCAGACCACCGCCGTGTCCGGCCTCCGGGTGCTGCCTCTGCCACTCAGGTGGGGGGCCCTGACGTAAAGTGGCGCCCCAGCTCTGCCGGCGTGAACAGGCGCCCGAGGCTGAGCCTGCTCTCAGGGAGCGCGAGGTCACCCCACCCTGACATCTCCGCGGCTGCCCTTGTAAAATTCTGGCAGTGACGTAAAGTCCAGAAGGACAAGACAAGTCTGGCTGAGCTGATGGCCACAGGGAAGCCGGGCGTGGGCGCGTCGGGCTTTGCAGGTGCCAGTGACTGGCCAGGAGACGCCGGGGCCACGGCAGAGCGCCGGGAGAGGCGGCAGCGGCCGCCAGCCGGGTCGGGCCCAGCCGGCCCCCACTCGCGCCCCTCACTGCTCGGGGCTTCTGCAGCCCGCGGAGACCTTTCCCTCTGATCCGGCGGGAAGACCGGGCACAGAAATGTCCCCACGAGGGGCCTCAAAGGGCAGATGGCCGCCCCGGCAAGCCCCTGGATGCGGAGGTGGGGAGTGGCCAGGCCGAACCCCAGCCCCGAGCCAGAGCCCGAGGCCGGCCTTAAGGCTGAGCACAGAAGGACTCTGGCCTGTCCACGTCCGCCTGTGACTCAGCCCTCCCTGCCCCGGCCAGCGGGGCCCTTTGCTCTGCAGAGGCCACCAGGGTCGGGGCCTCAGGCTGGGCTTCCCCCTCCCAACTCCCCATCTTGTCCTCCCCCTTTCTGCTCCAGGGGCCCCACCGCTGGGTCCCGAGAAGCTCTCTCCCGCCCCCCGCTGGCTGGGGCGGCCACTGCAGCAGCCCAGGCCTCGGTTGCCCCCTGTCCTGCCGTCCAGGCCGCCGCCTGCGTCCAGCTCTGCCTTGCGTCAGCACGTTCCCCTGCACTCCCGAGTGGGCGCCGAGGGGGAGCGAGACTAGGCGGATTGGGGTGCAGGCTCCCGGGGGTGCCTGGACCTGGAGGCGGGGCTAGCTGGCCAGAGGGTGTGGGCCACCCCGAGGCCATGTCCAGGAAGGTGACTGGCAGGGTGTGCTCTGCTGTGACAGTCACCTCCATGCGGGGCTGGGGGGGCTGGGGTGGTGCTGGGGGCTGGAGGGGGATCCCCGCTCCTGGCGTGGCAGGTGCTCCGTCCAGGCCAGGTCCTGCGAGCAGCTGGCCTGCTTGGGGCTGCTGGCCGCCAGGGGGCTCCTGTTGGCCGCTCAGAAGCAAGTGGGGGCTCAGAACAGATGGGGGACGTAGGCGGCCTCAGAGCCTGGGCTTCTGGGGCACGGCGGGCACCAGGCCCAGGCTGGTGTTGAGCTGCCCTGAGCTGCCCGGCTGCCCGGGCTGTGGCCAGCGCCCCTCACACTGGGGTGCGAGGCGGCGTCCCGAGGGAGGCCTTCCTGCCCAGCGAGCCCGGGAGCCCGTCACAGCCCC